GAGGGAGGGAAGGAAAGAAAGAAAGAAAGAAAGAAAGAAAGAAAGAAAGAAAGAAAGAAAGAAAGAAAGAAAGAAGGGAGGAAAGAGAGATAGGAAAGAAAAAAGAAAAAGAAGGAAGGAAGGAAGGAAGGAAGGAAGGAAGGTTACATAGATCCCATCTGTGGTATGTGGCATGGGGCGCCCGTTCACACTGGCAAGTCCTCCCTTGAAAATGCCAGTCATCCAGTGAGAACATTCAGGTGTTTGAATTAGCTCCAAGAAGTCACCAGAATAAGGATGATTGGAAAACTTGGTTTTGACTTTGGTTTGAATGTGACCCCTGACACAGACTCCCTCTTACCACCTGGGGGGGGAAGTTACCCTCCCGCCCGGCTTCCCACCTCCATCTCCCCAAGAGGTTAGAGACTATAGAAACCCCACAGCCAGAGTGTTCAGTACCTTGTCCAATGCGGACGATGCCTGCAATGATCACAACAATGAGGGCTAGCACCTTGGCGTAGGTGGACAGGTCCTGGACTCGGGTTCCCCACTTCACGTAGGCACAGTTCACGAAAGTTAGGAAGCCTGAAATCAAGAGAAGGAAACAAAGCAGAATGACTTAGAAGGAAGGGGGGTAACTCTCTTCCTCCCTCCGAACTGTGGATTTGTGGACTTACGAATATACCCATTCCCAACTACAGGTGGTCCACAGCTTATGACCATTTATGGCTAAGCGAGACATTTGTTAAGTGAGTTTTGCCCCGTTTTATGAGCTTTCTTGCCATAATTGTTAAGGGAATCACTGAGTTGTTAAGTTAGTCACATGGTCATTAAGTGAATCTGGCTTCCCCAACCTGGGATCTCTCCCCTATTATGTGATGATACTTTCCTCATTATTCACTGACCTGGGGAAAAGGTGCCTATTCTTCAGCTATGACAGGTATTACTTACAACCACAGCTCATCTTCTTTTAACGACCCCATAATCCCTAGCGGGGTGGAGTCAGGGCAATTCAATGGAGCTGAGTGTTTACTGGCCGGATGCCCTTCCTGTTGCCAATGTGGAGTTTTTGTTCAGCAGATATATTCTCATTGTGCCCAGAGAGAGAAATATCTGCCTCTACCTGGGATCGAACTCACAGCCTCCTGATTGTGAGGTGAGAGCTCCACAATCTCTCTCTAGACTACTGCACCACTCTAACTTACAACCACAATTGAGCCCCAAATTTCTGTTTGTAAGTGAGCCTTGTCCCGTTTTATGACCTCTCCTGCCACAGTAGTGAAGGGAATCATTGCAGTTCCTAAATTAGTCACACAGTTGTTAAGCGAATCCGGCTTCCCCGTTGCTCATTGGAAGGTCGCGAAAGGGGATCACGCGACCCCAGGACACTGCAACCATCGTAGGTATGAGTCCTCTGCCAAACGTCTGAATTTTGATCAGGTGACCAGGGGAATGCCGCAACGATCGTAAGTGTGAAAAAGGCTCATAAGCAGGGGTGGGATGCAAATATTTTTACTACTGGTTCTGTGGGTGTGACTAGGTGGGAGTGGCCATGTGAGTGGGGGCGTGTGGCTTCTTCTTTTTTCCCGTGCCGCCGTTGTTTTTGGCCTCCTGGGCCTCAGGAAAATCTCCTGGGGGGAGGTGTTTTTGGTCCCAGAAGGCTTCCCTGAGGCCCAGGAAGGCAAAAAATGGAGCGTGGAGGGGCTGCACACTCCTGGGCGAGGGGGATCCTGGCACAGCTGATCATCAGGAGGAAAAAGAAAGAAAAAGAAATACCGGTTCTGCCGAATCAGTTGCTGTTTTTTTACTACCGGTTCGGCCGAACGGCAGCATCCAAACTGGGCCAGGCCGGTAGAATCCCAGCACTGTTCACAAGTCACTTTTTTCAGGGCTGTTGTAACTTCAGTCACTAAATGAACTGTTGTAAGTTGGGAACTACCTGTACGACTTAGTAGCCAAGCATCCAAATTGTGATTATTATTATGGTTTTTTTAGTTTTCTTCCCCCCAAAGCAGCTCTTGAATCAGAGCCCCAAATATCCCGTCAAACACTGATGGAAGCTAGAAATATTTTTGTTGGGCATCAGACCGGAAAAGTATGGTAAACTTTAGGGAATATATATTTGAGTTTACATGTATTAACTACAGCCAGAATTGTATTTTCACAACAATGGAAAAGCAAAGAGACCCCAACAGATGAGTGTGTAATTAAAAAAAATATTAGAATGTGCAGAAATGGACAGATTAACACTTACAATTAAGGAAAAAGGAAGGAACTGAATATTTCTCAATATGAGACTTATTTTACCAAGGGTTAGAGAATAAAAACAGAAGTTAGAAACATGGAGATACAAAAATGACTAATGTTATAAAGGAGATTTGTTAAAATAGATAAAGTAAATAAAACAAATCAAAAATTGGGGAGGGGAAGATTGATGTAAGCTACTGTGGATTTATAGTCCTGCCGGCAGAGTCCTGGACTTTTATCTTGGATTTCTTCCTTAGTTCCTGTTTCTGAGTCATTCTGAATTATGAAGCAATCATAATCCCAGCAAAGACAGGGAGCTGAATCAATTAACCCGCCAGCTGGGAGCAATGGTGTATTGGGAAAGATAACTAGGAGGTCAGGTTGATAAGACCTAAAGTCCCAGATAAGTGATTTTTTTTTTCTGAAGGACAGCAGTTACTTCTCCAGCCTCGGGGGCTTTTTCAATGGCAGGGACTACAAGTCCCATTGTTGGCAGCCAACAATGATAGGTTGGAGCAGAAGGATTGTAGCATTTTGCTTCCTGGTCTTAAACCTGGGGAGGAGGGAATCAGGCCCTAGACATTTGGGGTTCAGAAAGTGGGAAGCAAGGTTTTAACCCCTAAATTTTGTGACTCACAAGGTTATAAAACACAGATAATCGTCGACATACGACCTAAATTGAGGCCAAAACTTCTGTTGCTAAGCAAGACAGATGTTAAGAAGGGAGTTTTCGCCCTGTTTTACGGTGTTTCTTGCCGTCATCGTTAAGGGAATCATCATGGCGCTGGAGTTAGTCACCCAGGTTGTTCAGTGAATCTGGCTTCCCCATTGACTTTGCATGTCAGACGGTCACAAAAAGTGGATCACGTGACCCCCAGGATACCGTCAAAAATATGAACCCACTGAATTTTGATCACGTAATCGTGGGGATGATGCAACAGTCGTTAAGCAAGGAAAAGGGTTCACAAGTCCCTTTTTTCAGTGCTGTTCTAACTTCAAACAGTCACTAAATAGAACTGTTGTAAATTGAGGACTACCTGTATTGGGGCGGGTGGGGGGAACCCATCCTTCTTTTCCCCATCTATTCAAGCCACTATTCAAGATGTTGATTGTTGCATCCGTTCATTTTTTTAAACAGATTAACACAGTTGGAAGGGACCTTGTAGGTCCTGTAGTCCAACCCCCCACCCAAGCAAGAGACCTTACACCATTTCTGACAGATGGCAGTCCAGTCTCTTCTTGAAAGCCTCCAGGGATGAAGCTCACATAATCCCTTGCGGGGGTGGAGTCTGGGCAACTGAAGGAGCTGAGTATTTACTGGCCGGATGCCCTTTCTATGCCAATGAGGAGCTATATTCAGCAGATATTAACAGATGAACAGAGTTGGAAGGAGATCATCTAGCCCAACCTGCCCCAAGCAAGAGACTCTACACCATTTCTGACAGATGGCAACCCAGTCTCTTCTTGAAAGCCCCCAGTGATGAAGCTCTCACATCTTCTGAAGGCAACTTCTGTTCCACTGGTCGATTATTGTTCTGTCAGAAAATTCCTCCTTATTTCCAGGTTGAATGCCTCCTTGTTCAGTTTCCATCCATTATTCCTTGTCTGGTCTTTGGGTGCCTTGGAAAATAGCTTGACCCCTTCCTCCTCTCTGGGGCAGCCCCTCAAGTATTGGAAGACGGCTATCCTGTCTCCCCTGGTCCTTCTCTTCACTTGGCTAGCCATGCCCAGTTCCTGTAACCGTTCTTCGTATGTTTGAAGCGCCAGTTCCCTAATCATCTTTGTGGCTCTTCTCTGCACCTTTTTCTAGAGTCTCAACATCTCTTTTCATAAGTGTGGTGACCAAAACTGGATGTAATATTCTAGGTGGGTCTTACTAAGACTTTATAGAGTGGTATTAGTACCTCTCTTGATCTGGATTGTATCTCTGTTAATGCAACTTAGAATTGCATTGGGTTTTTTGGCTGCCCCCACACACTACTGGCTTATATTTAGCTGATTGTCTACTAAGACTCCAAAATCCCTCTCACAGTTCCTGTCATTAAGCCTGGTTTCACACAGTCTATACGTGTACTTTTGGTTTTTCTTGCCTAAGTGTAAGATTTTACTTTTCTCTACACTGAATTTTATTTTGTTAGAGAGGGCCCAGGGTTCATGTCTGTCGAGATCCACCTGGATCTTGAGCCTATCTTCTAGGGAGTTGGCTATTCCTGGCAGCTTAGTATCATCTGCAAATTTGGTAACTTCCCCTTCTATTCCTTCATCTAAGTCTTTTATTTTCCAGCCTGGTGCCCAAAACCCCCAAACCGAGACGCTGGATTCCAGACAACCATTGCCAGTGAACATCGAGAAGTTACATCCAGGCGGAAGACACCAGATCTTCCTGGATATCACCCAAAGTTCAAAGACGAGGAAAAGAAATTAACTTGTTTATCCAACTCTTATTGCTTTTTTTTTTAATGTTCTACTCTTCTAACCTTGATCTTTATCCCAGGAATGAGTTGTTGTGTCTCAGGAGGTTATGGGAGATTTGGCTTGGAGCCAGATGGCCAAACCCACCTCTTCCCACCCACCCAGGACAAGAAGAGACTGTGTTGAGCCAAGGGCTATATACTTCAAGTTCAAGACATCAACTTTCTAACTGCAGAAATGGGATTTGGGATTCGGGAGGCCTTTTTAATCAACGCTTATCCTTTTGATAAACAAGGCAATAAATTCCTCTTCATTATTGGTCCTTGGAACGGGCCTGAATCTGAGCAAAGCCACAGATATGAGGACTCGTTTATCAAGGGGACCAGCTATCCTCCGGTGGGAGCTGGGACAGGTAGTCCTGCCAAGTTTTCTAATCATGGTTTTTGGTTCAGTGCCAACCTCTGATAGAAGACAGCATTTGTAGCTCGGGGTTGAAACTGGGAGGTCCTTAGTGTTCTTTGAGCTTTGGTGGTTTCCTTTCAGACGTTTCATGACCCAACTGGGTAACATTATCAGTGCCAGAAGGGTGGGGTTTGTAGAGAGGACAGGATTATTGTGAGGTCCTTGTGTTCTAACCAAGGCTTCCTGAGACAGTAACAAACACACACTGTTTCCAAAACACTTTTTGGTCTGCCACAGTCTTTTGGGATAAGGCTGATAAGCACCCACCTTTATCTCATTTGAAATGCTGCCAATGACTAAATTGCCAATCAGCTGTACAAGGCCAAAAGGAGCACAAAATCAACACAGAGCTTCAGATTTTAAACCAACCAGAACGAACAAAGTTGCTTCCTGCAAAGGCTCATGTCCCTTTGCTCCTCCTTTATGTCTTATGGGAGGGGCCAATTATCTCCAAGCCTTACTCA